CTTTTCTGTCCTTTTAGGATCCCAGGGTCATACATTTTTTTAAATTTTGTTGTTGTTTATAAACAATTTTTAACAAATTTCATTCCTATTCCAGAATACTTTCATGCTCAAAGAGAAATTTTTGTTTTAAAAAGTTACACTAGTAGCCAGAAAAAAAAACTATATAGTATGTACTCAGCAAAGACCAAACCTTTAACTAAAGAACTACAGTAGATCATATTCAATTCCTGAAAGCCTACAAACCACACATTCCATTAGAGTCAATTTTACAAAGAATCAAACCATCCTGCAACCAGAAAGAAAATGAAGAAAGGACAATATATTAGGATTAGACTAACTCAGTGGTTTTCAACTGTAATAGTTTGTCCCCTACCCCCACTCTTCACCTTACCTGACCTCATCTCCACCCACATGAGTTTTTGATCATCATACTGGGAGGTAAAGGAGGGTCAGAACATACTGTTGGCACCTAGTGAATAAGCAGGGACGCTGCATCCTACAATGCCAAGATGCCCCCAATAATGAAGAACTATCTTTAGTTACACGGGAAAATTAAGAAACTGATGGAATTTAAATATGAACACTTATCAGTTAAATTTCTATAGTGTAGTTATTTTTCTAGTTTCACAAAAGAATAACCTTCTCTGAGGGCAGGGATGGGAAGGGAAAATGGAGGAGAAAAAAGGAAAGAGTGAAGCTGGGCGCCAGTGGCTCATGACTGTAATCCTAGCTACTCAGTAGGCTGAGATCTGAGGAAGTGGTGCTGTGACTCAAGTGGTAGAGCTCTAGCCCTGAGCTGAAGAAATGAGGGACAGCACCCAGGCCCAGAGTTAAGGCTCCATGACCAGCAAAAATAAATAAATAAATAAATAAATAAAGTTAAAACGTATTAGCATTTGGCACTTAACCCATGTTTCCAGTTCAGCATTTTGAAGGCTAATTGAAAATACTGTCTCACAGACTTTTCTGTCTAGGTTCACTTTGATATGTAACCCACTGGGTCTCAGCCTTCTGAGTATCTAGAATTACAGATATGAGTTACAATGGCTACCTGAGTTGTTTTTTTTTTTTTTTTTGGGGGGGTGGTCCAGTCATGAGGCCTGAACTCTGGGCCTGGGCGCTGTCCTTCAGCTCTTCAGCTCAAGGCTAGCACTCTACCACTTGAGTCACAGCGCCACTTTCGGCTTTTTTTTCTGCTTATGTGATGCTGAGGAATCGAACCCAGGGCCTCATGCATGCAAGGCAAGCACTCTACCACTGAGCCATCTTCCCAGCCCCTGGGTTTTTATTTTACTGTTTTAACTTTTAAGCTATTTGTACATTCTGGATATTAATTTTTTATCCATTAAATAATTGTTAAAAATTTCTGTGATTATGTGGCTTATCTCTTTGCCATAGTCATTGTTTATTTCATGTAATAATAAACCTTTAAATTTTATTTACTCCCACTTATCCACTCTTGTTATTATTTTCTGGTCACTTTGAGATCTATTAAAAAATGATTACTTAGGCTTGTGTGTTCTAGGAATTTCCTTAAGATTTTCTGTATTTAGTTTCAAAGTTTCACATCTTTAAGTTCTTTGATCCATTTGGAGTTGATTTTTTTTTAATTGTGAAAATACTGTACAGAGGGGTTACAATTACTTGGGCAAGATAATGAGTACATTTCTTATCAAGCATTGTAGCCTCCTCCTTTGTTTTCCCTTCCCATCCCTTCCCATCCTCCCCCCACCAAATCATCCCCCCTACTCCCCCCACAGCACCAAAGTTGTTGCAATGGGTCCACCTGTATCCCTATTTAAACGATTTGTTTTTCCCCTTCCCCTCCACAAATTATATGAAAGCAGGGGTTATACCGTGGGGGAGGGACATACAGAGCAACAAATCTTATAAATCTTATAAATGTGTTAGAAACAATCGCATGAAAGAAAAAAAACATTTGAATACATATCTTAGGGTTCATCTCCCTAACATCAACTTATCTGACCTTTTCTGCTTGACTCAGACATATACTAGATATTGCAAATAAGGGAAACCATGGGACCTATGTTTCTTTGGGCCTGGTGGAGTTGATTTTGTGCAGAGTGAAAGACAGAGTTTCAGTCTCCTGCGTGTAGATAATCTATTTTACCACCATCTTTCATTGAACAGACTATATAAAAACCTATTTCTGGCATCCTTGATTAACATTAGAAGACTGTAGTTTAGTGGGTTTTATCTTCTATTCTGTTTCATTGATCTTCATGTCTATTTTATTACTATGACTTGGTAGTGTATTTTGAAATATGTTATTTTGATAGAATATTTTTGTAGCATTATTTTTGTGTAGTACTATTTTCATTATTTGAGTGTTTTTGTTCCTATGCTAATTTTAGGATATGGTTTTCTATTTGTGCCAGGAATGGAATTTTTACTTTTATAGGTATCATATTAAGTCATGGGCTGGTTTGATGCTGTATGTCCATTTTCACAATATAAAATTTTGCCACATCATAAAAACATGAAGTCTTTTTGTCTGCTACCTAATCTTAAATTACTTTCTTCAAAGGTTTATGCTTTTAACTGAATAGGTCTCTTTGCCCTAGATTAGGCATGTATTTTTCTTTTTTTAAAGATGTAATTGGTATCACAAAGGTGATGTACAGGTAATATTTCTGTTTTTGTTATTGTCAGTGGGTTGGTTTTCCTGATTTTTCTCTCAGTCAGTCAGCTCATTCCTAAAATGTAGAAAGCAATTAATTTTGTATGTTGAGTTCATATGTTTATACATTTCCAAAATACTTATTAGTTCTAGGGGAATTTGATGAATATTTAGTATTATTTAAGTATAGCAATATATTATCTGCAAACAAGTATAATTTGACTTATTTTGTTTTCTAATCTTTTTACATCTTTCTCAGCTCATTTCTTTGGGAAGCAACTTCTATACTATATTTAATAAGAGTAGGAGACTGGCCACTCATTCTACACTATAGAAAAATTAATTTCTGTTTCTTGCTATTTAGCCTGATATGGCTATGTTTGTCAAACAGCCTTTATCACAATGAGATTTATTTTCCATGCCTAGTATCTTCAAAAATATTTATCATACAAGTATGTTGAATTCTGACTGATGAATTTTTGATACAGAAAAGGAGATTATCACATAATATTTGCCATTATTCTGTGTGAGGTATTACATTAATTGATTTGTTTATGAAAACTTATTGGTGTAGCTGGAATAAAACTAACTTGATAGTTATGCATCATCTTTGAAATGTGTTATTAAATTTTATTTGAAAGAAAGAAAAAAAACATATTAGCATTATCTTTTATTCAAGAAATTTTACATAACTTTCCACAGCATGTGTTTGCTATAGCAAAATAGCTTAATTTCACTTCTCAAAATCAATTGCTATATCTGAATAAAAATTGATATTAGCAAATTTAGCCTCAATTATGTAGGTAACCTAAAAAATGTATTTTTTCTTTTTTACAAACTTTTGCTAAAAAGTGTAATTTTTAAAATATAATCTGCACAAAACTAGAAATGCTTAGATGTCTTCCAAAGACATAACAAATGTAGTATAGTACATACATGGCCAATATCCCTGAGTCATATATTTCAGAGTTTTAGTACACTATGAGAAGAAATAATTTGCCAGGCGCCAGTGGCTCACACCTGTAATCCTAGCTAAGAAAACTAAGGAAGCTAAGATCTGAGGTTCAAAGCCAGGCCAGGCAGGAAAGTCCATGAGACTCTTATCTCTAATAAACCACCAGAAAAAAACGGAAGTTCCACTTTGGCTCAAGCAGTTGACCGCTCGCCTTGAGCTGAAGAGCTGAGAGACAGTGCCCAGGACCAGAGTTCAAGCCCCATGACTGACAAAAAAAAATAATTTAGAATCACATGACAGCTGATTACAATCAATAGGAAAGATGTTTAAGAAATAACAAAAAGAGATTTTTAAAGAAATAGATTTTCATGCTAGGCAGTAGTGGCTCACATCTGTAATCCTAGCTATCCAGGGGGGGAGAGATCTGAGAATCCTAGCTACTCAGGAGATTGAGATCTGAGGATTTGTTTGAGGTTAGCGCAGGCAAGAAATTCCATGAGACTCTCCAATTAATCATCAAAAAGCTAGAAGGGGAGCTGTGGCTCAAGTGGTAGACCACCAGCCTTAAGCAAAAGAAAAAAAAAATTAAAGGATAATGCCCAGACCAAAGTTAAAGTTCAAGCCCCAGTATCAGCACACAAAAAAGTCACATTTCTCAGAAGTTTAACCTTAGCTCTGAATTCATGAACCATATCCTTCTGATTTTTTTTTTATGTATTGAGTACTAAAATAGTATACAACATTTCTACAAAAACAGCTTCATGAAAAATAAGAACTTAAAATGACAAAAATGTAAAACAGGTCCTATCCTAGATGAGGGAACTAGTGGGAGGGGGAAAGTAAATGAGAGGGTGAAGGATGGTGTAGATGGCCAAAATACTTTATGTATGTGTGTAAAAATGGAACAATGGCCAGGCACCGAAGGCTCACACCCATAATCATAGCTACTCAGGAGGCTGAGATATAAGGATCACAGTCCAAAGCCAGCCCAGGGAAGGAAAATCCATGAGACTCTTATCTCCAATTAACCACCAGAAAACTGGAAGTGACGCAGTGTCAAGTGGTACAGTGCTAGCCTTGAACTGAAGATCTGAGGGACAGCACTCAGGCACACAGTTCAAGCCCCATGACCAACAAAAAAAAATAAAAATAAATAAATTTAAAAATGGAACAATGAAGTGTGCTGAGTTTGTTTGCAAATGGGAAGAACATGATGAGAAAATGATGGAGGGGGTGAGTCTAATCATGGTACATTGTGTATATATATGGATATGTCAAAATGAAATCTCCTTGTACAACTAATTGATGGTAATAAAAAAATGGTAAAAACAAATAAGCACAACAGTTACTTTTAGAAAGTTATAATTAAAAATTTTAATCCAGGAAAAAATTTAGGGTACTTACAGATGTCTGGGACATACTTGACTGTTGTGTGACACTTCCTGTAGGGGATGTAGGTGGTCTTCCACTGGACAAACTTGCCTAAAACAGTAAGACCGTTGTAATATAAAAAGCATAAAGTTAAAAGCTTTCTGGAATAGGACACCAGTAGCTCAGGCCTAGCTACTCAGGAGGCTGAGATCTGAGGATCATGGTTTGAAGCCAGCCTGGGTAAAGTTCCTGTGAGACTCTTATTTCCAATTAACCACTCATAAACCAGCTCAAAGTGGTAGAGCACTAGCTTTGAGCAAGAGCTCAGGGACAATGCCAATGCCCTGAATTCAAGACCCAAAACAAACAAAAAAAAAAACTTTCTGGTACCAGCATAATACAAAACCTCAACAAAACTCAGAAAGTATATGCATGAAACAAATTTTATGATCAAAATGGTGTTTGCCTTTGACAATCAGATGAAAAAAAGAAAGAAAAAGCTGAATCATAAAATAAGACCCAACAGCTAATCTTATTAGCTGCATTCATTGTCAGTTTTGCTCTTTAGCTCTGTAATCTTTGAAGCAGAACCACCACTAGAATATTATGAAAAAGAAGCTGGGGCGGGGGGGGGGGGGGGGGGAGAGAAAGAAAGAAAAAGAACCTGAAGCTGTAACAAGAGTCTGTGGATTCCAGTTTGCTAACTCACAATATAAACACAATCTCATTTAAAAGTATACTACTGACAAGAAGCAACAGCTAGTATATGTTTATAATAGAAATAAACCTTTTTCAGGTTCAGATAACTGAGATCCTCCTATCATGAGGAGATTTAGAACTGAATCTCACAGTTTCATTTAAATAATACAATCATAATGAAAATCTTTTTTAAAGGTAAACATTTAATCATAAAATGACTGTATTATTTAGCAGGAATAAGGACTGGATTTTAGAACAGTGAACATATGTGTTTTAAACATAAAATTTCCATTACAATGACTACCTCTGAAGAACGGGAACAGTAGTAGATGCAGAAAGAAGTATCTCTACTTCATTTGTCCCTTACTGTTTTGTAACTGTTTGATATTTTTTAATGAATATAAAACACTTTTAGACCAAACAAATATAATTCATATACCATTCAGTATTCATTGTTATACCTAGAATTTTGAACACAAAATCATGCCTTTAACTCAGCATTTGTCCAGATGGATAAAAATCAGTGAGACAAAAGCTAACCACGGACTATCACGCTACTTATTTCCCACCCAACATAGTTTCTTCAGAAAAAATAATCACAGAATATCTGAAAACTCTGAAACACCCTGTGTACTTATTTTTCACAATTATGTGACAAGAATGTTATACTTTGTCCTCATCAGTTATGGATATATCCAGTCTCACCTGCACAGCAGCAAGGCTCTGGAGCTGGGAGCTACTCAGATGCTGCTGCTGAAGGGCTGCAGTGTGTAGCATCAAGTGCTGCTGCTGAGCAGCATACATCTGCTGTAGGTACTGAGCAGCTGAACTTGGGGGACGATGCAATGCCTGCTGAATGACCTGTAGGAGAAGTCAAATTCCAACATCAGGTCATAATCTCAACCTTTATCTCTCTTTCTTTCTCTCTCTCTCTCCCCCTGCACCCCTCCCTCTCTCTCTTCCTGGTACTAAGGATCAAACCCACAGGCCTTGTATTTGCTAAGCACTTATGCTAATAAGCTATAGCCTTACCTTAAACATAAAATGAAGTACAGAAAAAACAATGAGTTTAAATTTTTACTGCGTTATAAGCACTGTCATTAAACATACTAGTTTATTTCTCTCCTCCTTACATGTCACTAGGAGTTACCAGTTATACCTAGTAGAGACAATATATGAAAGAAGAGCCAGATAAGCATCTGAAATACCAGCTTTGAGATGGATAAAAATTTAAAAGAATACTTCTACTGGCCAGGCACCAATGGCCCACGCCTGTAATCCTAGCTCAGGAGGCTGAGATCTGAGGAACACAGTTCAAACCCAACCCCGGCAGGTAAATCTGTGAAACTTATCTCCAATAAACCACTAGAAAACTGGAAGTGACGCTGAGGCTCAAGCAGTAGAGCACTCGCCTTGAGCTGAAGAGCACAGGGGCAGTGCCCAGGCCCAGAATTCAAGCCCCACGACCGAAAAAAGAAAAAGAATACTTCCACTAACTAAGAAAATAAGTCAGCTGGTCACTAGTAGCTCATGTCTGTAATCCTAGCTACTGAGGAGGCTGAGAGCTGAGGACTGTGGTTCAAAGTCAGCACAGGTAGGAAAGTCCATGAGTCTTTTTTTTTTTTTTTCAGTTGCGAGGCTTGAACTCCGGGCCTGGGCAATGTCTTTGAGCTCTTTTGCTCAAGGTTAGCTAGCACTCTATCACTTTTAAGCCACATCTCCAATTCAGGTTTTCTTGTGGTTAATCTGAGTCCCAGAGAGACTTTTCTGCCAGGGATGGTTTCAAACTGTGATACTCAGATCTCAAAACTTCTGAGTAGCTAGGATTATAGGTGTGAGCCACTTGCACCCAACTTCCATCAGACTCATCTCCAAGCCCCACGATCAACACAAAGAAAAAGAAAAAATAAGTCCTCCTATAGTATGCTGTTAGTGCACTGAATTTCAGTTAGTATAATCTTCTGGCTGAAACTTGGTAAAATTCAGGGCATAGGTATGGTTAGGAATACTTTTGTCATGTAGTCATTACAAACTACAACATTTATCACACCGTCTACTACAAGTTATTTTCCTTTAGAAATTACTAGACAATTTTTATTATTTTAAGTGTCAGATTCCAGGTTTTAATTATTTACACGCAGGAATAAAACTTGTAGTGAAAGAAAATAAAATTACTCCTAAAAAATGCTACTTACAGAAATGGAGGGACAAAGTAGCAGTGGTACTCACTAGACACTATGTTGAAAATGAACTAACAACTTGTGAGTAGGGACAGGAGGGAAAAAACTGCAAGGGAAAGGATGACATTGTCCAAAATGAGGTGTATTCATTATCTGACTTCTGTAACCATAATCCCCCTCTGCATATCACCTTTATAAAAACAATAAAATTTTTTAAAAATTTAATTGCTATTTGCAGCTGGGCATGCAATCCTATCTACTTGGGAAGATAACAAATAGGAGAATCACAGTTCAATGCCAGTCTGACAGAAAAATCCGCAAGACTCTCCAATGCAACAGAGGGATAAATGTAATGTCCATCTGTAGTCCAAGTCACAATGTGAAGCTTAAAATAGACACATCACAGTTCAGGCTTAGGCCTGGAAAGAAATAATACCCTATCTTTAAAAAAATAACCAATCTAGCCAGGTGCCGGTGGCTCACACCTGTAATCCTAGCTACTCAGGAGGCTGAGATCTGAGGATACCGGTTCAAAGCCAGCCCAGGCAGGAAAGTGCATGAGACTCCTATCTCCAATAAACCACCAGAAAACCGGAAGTGGTGCTATGGCTCAAGTAGTAGAGCGCTCGCCTTGAGCTGAAGAGCTGAGGGACAGCCCCCAGGCCCAGAGTTCAAGCCCCATGACAGACAAAAAAATAAATAAATAACCAATCTAAAATGCATTGGAGTATGGAAAATTATACAGGATTCTAGCTACTCTTAAGAGAGAAACAAAGGCACAATCCTAAATGCTTCTTCATATTTATATAGAATAATATACATACTAAAACAAGTTCCAAAATATGGAAACAAAGATTTTTTTAAGTTTTTAGTTTTTGATGATTCTATCTTCTTTACCTATGTATGGTGTAGTCACATGTATATCTCGGGAGGGTGGGAGCAAGGCACAGAACTTGAGAGAAAAAGGATGAAGAAGTGCAGTAGTGGAGCTCATTGGACACTGATGAAAGTAAACTATACAATTCAGGAGTGGAGATGGAAGAAAGGGAGTAGGAGAGAATGAGGGAACAGAAGACAACTCTATGAAAGGAAATGTATTCTTTACCTGATTCACATAACTATAATCCCTCAGTAATCACCTCTATAATAACAATAAGGTAAATTAGGTTTTAAAAATATAAAAAATGAAGAAACAGGGCTAGAGATGTGGCACAGCAGTAGGGTATCTGCCTAACAAGTGCAAGACCCTGAGTACCACAAAAACAAATAGTGAATTACAGTGAATACTAGCAACATGTAAAATGAGAGCCTAAAAAGTCTTAAGTACAGAAGTATACCAATCAAGTATTTTAACAAAACCAGAAACTTAGCTGTTGAAAAGCTAAGTTTAATATCAGTCCTCTGTAGTCACATCTTAGTTTCATCATGACCACTGAACTTTGAAACAGCATCGAATCCTTACCTCTGAATCAAACCACAGTTTTCAAAGTTGTCATAAATTAACCACCATAGTCCTTTAGCTTGTGGGTATAAACTAGGATACATGAAACCATAAAGTCATGAACCCATTTATCCAACTTCCTTTTTTTTCCTTTTTTTTTTCCTTTTTTTGTTGGTCATGGGCCTGAACTCTGGGCCTGTGCACTGACCCTGAGCTCTTCAGCTTAAGGCTAGTTCTCTACCACAGAGCCACTGTGGTACTGAGGAACTAAACCCAGGGCCTCATGCATACAAGGCAAGCACTCTACCACTGAGACACCTTCCCAGCTCCCATTTATCCAACTTTCAAGAAAGCACATTTCCATGAGTAATCGTTTACATACTAACATATACTCGTATCTCATTTCTCCATCTGTAAATTATTTCTGCCACAACTCATGTCACAAAAATCAATGTAGGGCTGGGAATGTGGCTTAGTAGTAGAGTACACACATGAAGCCCTGGATTCAGTTCCTCAGGACCACATAAACAGAAAAAAAAAAAAAAAAAAGCAAAAAGTGCTGCTGTGGCTCAAGTGATAAAGTACTACCCTTTAGCAAAGAGGCTCAGGGACAGAACCCAGGCCCTGAGTTCAGACCCCAAAACCAGAAGAAAAAAAAAAAATCAATGTAAACTTTTGATCCCTTGCTGTAGAAAACTACAGGCCAAGGATTAAGTCATTCAGAATTACAATAATGTATCTTTTGGGTCATATAAATCTACATTTGTTCTTCTAATTTCATAATAAAATTCTAAGAATCAAGTGAAAATAACAATCTATTGGATACATATTTTTGTCAAAGTACAGTAATTTATTACTACTCAATATTATATTCTTGGTATTGAGTAAATACAAGTAAAAAAACACATTGTTCTTATTTAGTTTCACTAGCTAGAGTAGGGAACAGCTCAAGGACTACCTAAGGCCAAATAAGGACCTCAAAATCATTTGGTACATAACATGACAGAAACATCTGGTTCTCATTATTTGCTATGGCCATCTGCCTATATTAATAATTGTGTATGGCCTCAAACAATATTATCAATACCCAAATGGCCCTTGGCAGAAAAAAAAAATCTCCACCCTTGCTCTTTAAGAACAAGAGGGTAGGGGCTGGGAAGTGGCTCAGTGGTAGAGCGCTTGCCTTGCATGCCTGAGGCCCTGGGTTCGATTCCTCAGCACCACATAAACAAAAAGAAAAAAGCCGGAAGTAGCACTGTGGCTCAAGTGGTAGAGTGCTAGCCTTGAGCTGAGGGACAGCGCTCAGGCCCAGAGTTCAGGCCCCACGACCGGAACCCCCCCCCAAAAAAAAACAAGAACAAGAGGGTAAAGGAAATTCACTGGACTGAAAAAGGCAGCTGAAAGATTAAAGAACTACTTAGTAATTCAATACATATTGGTTTAACTGCATTTTAAGATAGATAATCCAGGTCTGGGAAGGTGGCTCAGTGGTAGAGCGCTTGCCTTGCATGCATGAGGCCCTGGGTTCCATTCCTCAGCACCACATAAGCAGAAAAAAAGCCAGAAATGGCACTGTGGCTCAAGTGGTAGAGCGCTAGCCTTGAGCTGAAGAGATGAGGGACAGCGCCCAGGCCCACGACCGGACCCAAAAAAAAAAAAAAAATCCAATGATATCATAAAAACTAGTCAGAGCTACTGGTGAGAAACAACTAGATCTTCACATGTCTAATACATTTGTGTTAACATATGCAACTTAAGTGAAATTAGAGAATAAAATAATCTATTAAAGTATCACCTCATCTATATGCTCAGAGATCTAGATAGTCTTTCTGTATCAGTTGCCTCAGCAAAGACAAGACATTAAAAGCCCACTGCATTCCAGTTTGAATTTCTGCTGAGCTGGCTGGTTCCCCAACAATTCTATAATGATTTCAGAATAGGAAATCCTAAACCATGCAAGTAGTCATTACACTGGGATATCTATCATGGAAGACTGTATCCTAACAGGTAAGAAAGCAATTATGAGAGGACAGGGAAGCGGTTCAGCAGAAAGTTTGCCTAACATGTACACACATACACATATACACACATCACACACACACATGCGCGCACACACACACGTGCGCTTGCACACACACCCCTGGGCTTGATCCTCAACACTGCAAGAAAAAAGAAGGGTGAGAGGGGAGGAAAAAGGAGGAGAAAAGAAGATAAAAGGAGAGGAGGGGAGAAAGGAGGGGCTAAAAGAATGCAATTACAAGGATCTTAAAGAAAGCAAATGGCATAAGAGAAAAAACAAGAACTCACAAAATGGTTAAGGTATAAACCCTAAGTAAAGTTAGAGAACCTACTACCAAAGTTTAGAAAAGTTACATTATTTAAAACACTGGGTTTTCCCATTTGCAAGATGGAAATCATAATTCTTTTTTTGTTAGTCCTGGGGTCTGAACTCTCCCTCAGCTCTTCAGCTCACTTGAGCCACAGCACCACTTCTGGCTTTTTTCACTTATGTGGTACTGGGGAATCGAACCCAGGGCCTCATGCATGGGAGGTAAGCACTCTACCACTGAGCCATTGTCCCAGTCCCTGGAAATCATAATTCTTTATATAAGTGTGGTAAGGATTTAAAAAATCCACATAAAGCATGTAAGTGCTGACACATAGCATTTGTTTATTTCATACTATCACTGTTTATTAGGTACCTACAATGGTCACTGGGTACCCCACAAGGTCCTAGATATGTCATCACACCCCTATAGTAACTTGGAATGTAGAAAGTCATATCCTCATTTTACTATTTCTTGAAACTCAAGAAGAGTATACCAGAGATATTAATGATAACAAAAAAGAAATTCAAGCAGCATATCACACCACCAATGCTCATGCCCTTTATATGTAACACTGTATTGCCTCCATTTTTATAAAGTTCAACTTAGTAAATTTACTTTCTCAACTAAGTGATCATTAGGTTCCTTTTCTATCACTGTTCCTAAGAGCTGTACAATGCATCCTCCTGCGTATAGGTCCTAGGCCACCTATATCTGAAATAAAACTCAACACATTTACAGACCTGAAAATATTTGTGTATATTTTGGGCTCAACTACAAAAATATCCCCAAAAGTGAGCTGGGAAGGACTCAAAAAAAAAAAGTCCCCAAAAGTTAAAGCCATATACCTCTCACATGATTATTAAATAATAACTATGATTATTAAATAACTTTGTTGATTGAGATCTTCAGAAATTTTATTTTCTTTTTTTGACAGTCCTTGATATTGAACCCAGGGACTTGCTCATTCAAGGGTAAGTACTCTATCACTGACCTACCTCATCATCAAATATTATCAATTCTAACTTTATGCTTGAGAATATGAACCAATACATACATCTTGCTTAGGCAAAAAAGTAGTATGACATCCTAAGTTTTAACCCACCCATCATTATAGCTGAATACCTGTACAGCATGTCGGTCCGAACCACTGTATACAGAAATCTGTGGCTGCTGCATTCGTGATGAGGACGTGGTGATGGTGGTGGTAGTGGTGCTACTGGCTGTTGTTGACACAGAAGATGCTCCAGGGTTTGGTTCACTATCCATAGTTGTACTGTGGTCCTTAAATCTGGCAGATAACACAAATTATTTGTATTGGTAAAAGCACTATGAGTTTTAAAAAAATATTCATTCTAAGGTCAAACACAGGTTGCTTATCCTTATTAATTCCAGGCAAAGATTGGGAAGATTGGAGTTTGAGGCCAGCCTAAGGGTAAAACAAGACCCTATCTAAATCAATAGCTGGAATAAGTGATGCATGTCTGTCATCCTATATATGTGAAAAGCATAAATAGGCAGACTTTAGTCCAGGCCAGCTTTGAAACACACACAAATCCCTATTAAAAATATAATGCAAAAGGAATGTGAGTCAAGTGGTAGAGCATTTGTGTAGCAAGTATAAGGCCCTGAATTCAAACCTAGTACCCCTCACACACATACAAATTCAGTCCAAAGAAATAATCAGTGTCTATGGGGCTGGGAGGGTGGCTCAGTGATAGAGCGCTTGCCTTGCATGCCTGAGGCCCTGGGTTCGATTTCTCAGCACCATATAAGCAAAAAAAAAAACCGGAAGTGGTGCTGTGGCTCAAGTGGTAGAGTGCTAGCCTTGAGCTGAAGAGCTGAGGGACAGAGCCCAGGCCCAGAGTTCAGGCCCCATGACCGGACCCACCCCCCCCAAAAAAAAAGAAGAAAAAGAAAAGAAATAATCAGTGTCTAAATTCCTAAGAAGGCCTTTATAAAACACAACTACCACACTGTCATCAAAAACATACTGTCATCAAAAACATTTTAAGGAAAAAATACTTCACATACATATAGAGAATGTTTAGTAGCTAATATCTAATAAACCAGTTCAAATGATTAGTACAGATAACTCAGGGACACATAACTTAGATAAAGTCTAGCTTGCAGCTTATTTTGTATTACTGGATGAAGAGGAATTTGAAAACGAACCAGATGGTAAGAAAACACTAAACTACCCAGGAAAGCAACATCATTCCTTTAAAAGAATTGAGACAGGGGCTGGGAAGGTGGCTCAGTGGTAAAGAACTTGCCTTACATGCATGAAGCCCTGAGTTCGATTCCTCAGCACCCATAAGCAAAAAGAAAAAAGCCGGAAGTGGTGCTGTGGCTCAAGTGGTGGAACGCTAGCCTTGAGCTGAAGAGCTGAGGGACAGCGCCCAGGCCCAGAGTTCAGACCCCACGACCAGACCCAAAAAATAAATAAATAAAAATAAATAAATAAATAAAAGAATTGAGACAGGCATCAGTGTGGCTAATACCAGTAATCCTAGCTACTCAGAAGGCTGAGATCTGAAGATCTTGATTCCAAGCCAGGCCAAGAAGGAAAGTATGTGCAACTCTTATCTCTAACCACCAAAAAAGCCAGAAGCAGAACTGTGGCTCACGTGGTAAAGAACTAACCTTGAGCAAAAAAGCCTCAGGAACAGTATCCAGGCCACAGGACACACACATAAAAAAATTTTGTTAACTTAGACCACACTAAAGCTACCAGCACAACAATGTTTATTGCAGCATTATTTACCATAGCTAAGATATGGAACCAACCCAGATGCCCCTCAGTAGATGAATGGATCAAGAAAATGTGGTATATATACACAATGGAATTCTATGCCTCCATCAGAAAGAATGACATTGCCCCATTTTTTAGGAAATGGAAAAATTTGGAAAAAATTATATTAAGTAAGTAAGCCAGGCCCAAAGAAACATAGGTCCCATGGTTTCCCTTATTTGTAATATCTAGTAGATGTATGAGTCAAGCGGAAAAGGTCAGATAATGTGATGTCAGGAAAATGAACCCTTAGATATGTATTTTAATGTTTTTTTCTTTCATGCATGTGTTTCTAATGCATTTATAAGATTATCCTTTGTTGCTTTGTATGTCCCTCCCCCACAGTATAACCCCTGCTTTCACTATTTTGATGTCAGTATAACTTGTGGAGGAGATGGGGAAAAACCAGTTGTTTAAGGATACAGGTGGACCTGTTGCAACAATGAGAAGTACAAGTTGTCATGTCCAAAACGAACTTTACAACGTCGGTGGGGGGAGGAGAAGGATTGAGATTGGGGGAGGGGGGAGGCTGGGAAGGGATGTGAAGGGTAAACAAAGGAGGAGGATGCAATGCTTGGTAAGAAATGTACACATTATCCTGCCCATGCAATTGTAACCCCTCTGTACAGTATGTTCACAAATAAAATTAAATTAAGTTAAAAAAATTTTTGTTAACTTAAATAGCAAAAAATTAATTAACTTACATATGGCTTTTTATCAGTCTACTTCTAATAAGTGAGTTTTGCTTATGGGCAGATTAGTGCACCTGAGGGACTAAGAGCAGAACCTCACATATTTGTGCAAAAATTTACCCGAAAACTTGAAAGACGCATAATTAGGTCATTTTCCTCATGTACAGACAGTACATTTCTGTAGCAGACTTTCTGATCTTAACTTTCCAAAATTACAATCTTACTTTGTGGTATAAAATTTTGCCCAATAAAGAATCTAATATTTTAATAAATTCATACATTTAAAGCCAACCATAATGGCTTCAATATTGTTATAAACTTTTTTTGGGGGGTGGAGGGTTGTGGGGCTTAAATGCAAGGCCTGGTGATATCCTTGAGCTTTCTACCACTTTGAGCCACAGCTCCACTTCTAGCTTTTTGAGCCCTTAATTACAGATGTGTCTCAAGGGGCCGGGCCGGGTGACTCACGCCTGTCATCCTAGCTACTCAGGATTGCTGAGGATCGCTGTTCTAAGACAGCCAGGGCAGGGAAGTCCACGAGACTCATGTCCAATTAACCACCATAAAACCGGAAGTGGCCCTGTGGCTCAGGTGGTAGAGCGCTCACCTTGAGCTGAAGAGCTGAGAGACTGCGTCCAGGCCCAGAGTTCATGCCCCCTGCCCAACAAGAAGTCTTAGGGGGACTCCCTCCCACTCTGCCCTGTTCTTGGACTGGTTTCAAACATAATCCTCAAATTTCAACCTGCCGAGTAGCTAGGATTACAGGCATGAGCCACTGGCACCAGACTGAAACTAGTTCTTATAGGGTCAGAAATACCCATTGGTTACACCTTCTCTGAGGGGTCTTTTCTGACAAACACATCTTGATTCACCTCACATTGGCAGCACTGACAAAAACAGAAGTACATTTTGTATTTTGGAGGGAGGAACGACTAGGCAGGCATGAACTATTCCTTTCATGGGCTTTAAAAAATATTTTTGGGGGGCTGGGAAGATGGCTCAGTGGTAGAGCGCTTGCCTTGCATGCATGAAGCCCTGGGTTCGATTCCTCAGCACCACACAAGCAAAAAGAAAAATGCCGAAAGTGGCGCTGTGGTTCAAGTGGTAGAGTGCTAGCCTTGAGCTGAAGAGCTGAGGGACAGCGCCCAGACCCCACAACCGGACCCAAAAAATATATTTTTTTGGCGGGGGGAAGCCTCTGGGAAGCCAAATGTAAAAATATCCATTTTGTTTTGAGACAGGGTCTTACTTTATGACTAGATCCTCCAGTCTCAGCCTCCCTGAGTGCTAGGGTTTACAGGTGTGCACCATCACCTGGGCTTCACAGCCCCAATTTGTAAGATGCAAATCAAAGGGGGGAAAAGGGGGCAGATTCTTCACTTTTTTTTTTTTTAGAAAGTAAACCAGACATTTGTAATGCTTTACTGCTATTTTTTCAAACTGCCTTCCAATCACTAAATCACAGTCTTGTACATTAACTGTCCAATATGGAGAATCAGTAGTAGATAGGACCAACTTTTTACCAAAGTACTGCCTGTCAAAACACTTCGGCACCACATGCCAGTGGCGTGCCAAGTATCAGCTTAAATTCTGGTCCGTTTGTCCTCGAAGCCAAACACTATGTTTAAGTAAGCGGTCCTAACTTCTACCGAAACACGGTCACAGAGAAAATCTAGCCATGAAGTCTAAACGTTGGTGCGTGCAACTGGACAAAAACATCACGTTCCACTCCGAGGCCTGGCACAAAAAGGGCACAATTTCTGGCAATTCCACTGATTAATTAAATACTAGCAAAATACCGCTGGCCGTACATAAGGGGCCTACCCAGGAAAACGGTGACTTTTCAGAGTCCCTAGGTGAGCCAGACCAGAACGAGGCCCCGCGGCAGGCGTCCGCAGCGCTGCAGCCCGAGGCCACGGAAATCAGATCCTTCCCCGCGGAGCGCTCCCGAGTGCTCCCGAGGCCTCCACAGCGCTGCCCGCGCGACTCTCAGTTCAGCACAGGGCCGCCTCCCCCTCAGCCCCGCCGGACGGGGGGGGGGCAGCCGGGTCTCGGGGCCCCCGCCCCTCCGGAGGGAGAGGACAGCCGGATCTCGGGGTCCCCCCCGCCGAAGGGGGCTGGCAGCCGGGCATTGGGGGCCCCCGGCTGAGAAGCGGGGCGTCGCCCGGCCCACGCCCGGCTGGAGTGAGCGGAGCGCGGCGGAGGCCTCGGCCTCGCTTCCCACCGGGCCCGCCCGGCCTCCACAGGCCCTGGCTGCGATGACAGCGCCTGAGCGGCCCACCCAGGCTGCTGCCCGGCCAGGCCCCGGCGGCCCGGCCCCCGGAGGTGCCGCTGAGCGCCGGGCCCAGCCGATCCCGGACCAGACCGCGGAGGGGGGCGCACCCGCCAAGAGGGTTCACCGCACCGGGCGGGCTCCTCCACCGCCAAGTGGCTCTCGAGTCTCTCCCAGCACCACCACGAAGCAGGCCTGACCTCTCCCTCAAGGGGACGTGTCGCGGCTCCCGCCAGTTCCCCCCAGCGCCCCCCCCCCCGCCCTCACGAGTACGACATCAGTCACCCGCAAGCCACTCACTCCGCTTCCGCCATCTTCTCTCCTCCATCACTAACAGGGGTTGCGCATGCGTCCCCCGGCTGCGCGCGGAGGGGGTGGGGCGGGACCAGGTCACGTGGGATCTAGTTTGCCAATCACAGCCCATCCCCGCCCTCGCTCCAGCGGGGAGAGACTGGGCTCGGTCCGACCTCGGTAGTGGTGGCTGGTCCTCAAGCCCTCTTTTCCTTTTTACCAATAAGTAAAAAGTTCTGTTCTGTTCAGAGTGCCTTGAAGGGAAATGCTCTCAGGGAAGGAAATGCCCGGCCCGTGCTTATTGGGGTAGCTGTCCGGGGCGCCCCGATTTTGAAGGTTCGAGTCTGCAGTCTTCCCCCGCTTAGAGGTAGTGTCACCTCCCGGGCAGGTGGCCAAACAGGCGTCCGTGTCTTCCACGCAAGTTTGACTGTGTACTTAGTAGGGATGGCAAATTTAATTGGAATTATCAGAAACAGCCATCGAAATGCTAGTTTACTGTATGTTTACCAACCCTTTTGAGATGGTATGAGACAGAGTAAAATGACTCCCGCACAGGTGGCTCATGCTTGTAATCTTAACTTCAGGAAGCTGAGCTCTGAAGATCAAGGTTCAAAACCAGCCAGGAGAGAAAAGGTTGTGAGACTTACTTGCAATTAACCAGCAAAAATCTGGAAGCGGAGCTGTGATTCAAGTGATAGAGTGCCATCCTTGAGTGAACAAGCCAAGGGACAATGCTGAGGCCAAGCCTCAAGCATCACTTGAAAAAAAAAATGTAGTGATATAAATATATCTTAAAGTATAGCCCGGCACCAGTGGCTCATGCCTGTAATCCTAGCTACTCAGGAAGCTGAGATCTGAGAATCAAGGTTCAAAGCCAACCCAAGCAGAAAAGTCCCTGAGACTCTTGTCTCCAATTAACCACCTGAAAACTGGAAATTGTACTGTGGCTCAAGTAGAGTGCTCGCCTTGAAGTGAAGAGCTGAGGGACAACACCCAGGCCCAGAGTTCAAGCTCCACGGCCAAAAAAAAAAAAAAAAAAAGTATAGTGTGGTTGAAAGAGAAATATTCTTAAAATTACAAATCTTGTTCCAAGATATGTTTAAGGAGACCAGCACTTCCCCTATGTGTGGGCTTTAGCTATCCTTTACCTCCTTTTCCTATCTGATAATGTTGTTGTTGGTTTTCTAAGAACTATCCTATCTGATTGCAGTGCCCTTCCTTTCTTATATTTACTCCTAGAATTCACTGGGAAAGACACTCAAAACCAAAACCAAGCCAGCCCCTGGTCCTTATGCTTATCATCCTAGTTATTCCGGAGGCTGAGATCTGAGTATTGCAGTTTAAGCAACTCCGAGCATAAAAGCTTCTGTATGACTCTTACCTCCAATTAACCACTCCAAAACAAAACAAAACTGAAAGTGGAACTGTGGCTCAAAGTGGTAGAGGCTAGCCTTGAGCAGAAAGAGAGGTCCTGAATTCAAGCCTCACTACGACAAAAACCAAAAATATAAACCAAAAAACAATAAATGCTTAAAAACAAGATGTTAGGGGAGCAAACCTCCTCAGGAGGCTGAGACCTGAGAATCATGATACTGAGCCAGCCAACAAACAATTCCCAGACTCTTACCTTCAGTTTCCCTAACTATCACAAAGCAAGAAGTGGCTCAAGCATGTTAGAGCCCTCAGCCATGACTGAGGGAAAGAGAAACATAGCAGGCAAGCAAAGTTGGGAGTTGAAGCTCTAGTATCAGTATGAAATAATAATGTTTTTATTTTTTCTTTCAGCCAAAATTGCTCTCTTTTATCCCTTTCCCTGAATATTATACTTTTCCCTGGATAAACATAGAAAATTTATGTCCTTGTAGTGGCAATATGAAGATTGGCTTTAAAAGTGGTTGTGTAGGGCTGGGAATGTGGCTTAGTGGTAGAGCATTTGCCTAGCATTCATGAAGCTCTGGGTTCAATTCCTCAATATCACATAAATAGAAAAAGAAGGAAGCAGCACTATGGCTTAAGTGCTACCACTTAAAAAAGAAGCTCAGAGATAGTACCCAGGCCCTGAGTTCAAGCCACAGAAGAGAGCACATATTAGGTCAAATTAGACCAGTATCACTCTTTAGAAACATTTAATTTGTCCCAACAAGAATGGAAAGAAGACTTAATCTAAAAGTTTTAGTTCTAAAACCAGGCATCCATGGCTCACACACACAATCCTAGCTACTCAGGAGGCTGAGACCTGGAGAATCAAAGCTGACCCCAGTAGAAAAGTCCAAGAGACTTCATCTCCAAAATAGCCAGCAAAAAAGCAAGGTTGGAGGTATAGCCCAAGTGGTAGAATGCCTTCTGAACAAGCAAGCTGAAAGATTAACAGGCCCTGACTTCACACAGCTATAAAGGGAAGTCAGGGAAGGGGAAGAGAGAACAGGATTTAGTTTCAACCCAGGCACAGTGATGTGCCCTATAATCGTAAATATTCAGTGAGCTGAGAAATTAAAACTTAGATTCTTCATTGCATCAATCCTATGTCAGGGGCTCCTTGGCTGTCTGTACCTACGGTTACTGTATAAGACAATGCATATTAGAACTCTACCACTATTACAGATAGTCCTAGCAAGCACTGATATGGATTCAAGATCAGCCCATAGGCCAGATCTCACCTGCCACTTGTCTTTGAATAGCCACCAAGCTATTTCATTTTTGCATTTTTTGATAATTTTTTGACAGCCCCAAGGCTCAAATCCAAGGCCTGGGCTTTGTTTGCGCAAGGCTAGCACTCTACCACTTGAGCCACAGCACCATTTCCAGCTCTTTCTGTTTAAGTGTACTGAGGAATCGAACCCAGGCAAGCACTCTATCACTAAGCTACATTCCTAGGCCTTTTTTTTTTTACAGCTTTAAAAATCAAAAGAAAAATATTGTTTTGTGGCAATTATGAATACTGTGAACAATTATAGAAAGTTTAGACCTTAATATCCACAAATAAAAGGTCCTTTTGTTTTTTGGTCAGTTGTGAGACTTGAACTCTAGGCCTGGGCGCTGTCCCTCAGCTCTCCAGCTCAAGGCTAGCATTCTATCACTTGAGCCACAGCACCACTTCTTGTTTTCTGGTGGTTAATTGTAGATAAGAGTTTCACAGAGTTTCTTTTCTGGGCTGGCTTTGCACTGTGATCCTCATATCTCTCAGTTTGTATATTTTTAATTTCCTTGAGTATTGCTGTTGTTTGAATGTCTCTCCTAAAAGTTCTTTATCCTCAACTTCATATGTTAATAGCATTGAGAAGTAGAGCCTGATTAGGATTAGGTCATATGGTCAGTGTTCCCATGAGAAGAGGGAGAGATCTAAGCATGGACTTGCTCTGTTTCACTATATGATGCCCTCTATCACATTATGATGCAGAAACAAGGACCTTGTCTGATCTCAACACCATATTCTTAGACTGGTCAGTCTTTGGAACTATGAACCAAATAAACTATCAATTACCTAGGCTCAGGTGTTTTGTTACAGCTACAGAAAATGGTCTGAAAATATACACCCAGCAGTTGAATTTGTTGGTTACATAGCAACTCTATGTTTAATATCTTAAAGAACTGTCAAACTGGGCTCCAAATCAATTTTACCCTTTGCACTCTCCCAATAATTTATACTCCATCAATAAGGAATATGAGTTCAAATTTCTGAACAACAAGTAACCCTTGTTATTATCTATCTCCAGCTCTATTGACATATAATTGATCATTAAATCTTTGCCTTTTTTGTGAGTATGTAAGTATGTGTAAATCCTGGGGCTTGAACTCAGAGCCTAGGTGCTGTCCCTGAGCTTTTTTGCTCAAAGCTAGCGCTCGACTACTTGAGCCATAACTTCACTTCTGGCTATTTGAATTGCAATCCTCAGATCTCAGCCTTCTAAGTAACAAGAATTACAGTCATACACCACTGGTGCCTGGCTTCTGCCTTTTTATTATAGCCAATCTAGCTAAAGGTTTTTATTTTTGTTGTTGTTTTTTTGGTTGGTC